AGCATGCAGCTCCTGTCAGGCCAGCAAATACCCGGACATGCGGCCCTCGGCTGCCCATGTTTTTGATATTTGGAATTGTCCCGAATGGGGGTTTCTTGCGAGGTTCGATGCCATAATTATGTGCTCACAATTATGTGGATTGGGTAGTATATAAGAAGATTGAAAACATATTCATTGAAACACAATTCTGAAGGAATCCAAATCAGCTCGTATCCTCGCTCCTCGCCTTAATCGATTAGCCCAACAACAACCATGAAGACCCTTACTTCTGCCTTGCTCGGTGCTGCTGCATTGGCACAGAACGTCAATTCCTCTCCTCTTTCGGGTGCTGCTGGACTTGAATTCCCCAATGTGACCGGGTTGACGAATCCTACCGTTCACGTTTCCAACGGCGGATCAGCCCATTGCGTCTCCGGCACCGTTAAAGTCAACGCGACTACCGACAAAAACCTCAAGTTCGCGTACAACTTGCCCTCTAACCAGTCGCAGGTAACCCAGACACTCGTCAGCCTGTGGTCGTCAGGCGGGGATGGCTACCTGAAATCCCTCACGAGCGGCACCCAACGGGTCAGCGGCAGCTACGATATCGAGGCGACATATTGTCTGCCTGCAGGCGAAACCTCAAAGACAACCAAGGTTCAAATCCTCACCCACGGTATTGGCGTAGACCGCCACTACTGGGACTTTGCCTCGGGATACAGCTACGTCGACACCGCCGCGGCCGCAGGGTATGCCACATTCCTGTACAACCGTCTCGGCGTTGGCGCATCGTCAAAGGAAGACCCATTGAATGTCGTGCAATCACCACTCGAGCTGGAGATTCTCAAGACGCTGGCAAGCAAACTTCGCCAGGGTACCCTTGGTGACCGCGCCTTTTCGACTGTTGTTGGTGTAGGCCACTCGTTTGGGAGCATTCTGACCCAGGGTGTCACCGCGGCTTACCCCAAGACCCTCGACGCCGCAGTGCTGACGGGATTTGCACTCGATTCGAACGGACTGTCTGGCTTTGGCCTGGGTCTTAATGCAGCAATTGCCTCGGAAACCCAGCCGTATCGCTTCAGTGGACTCTCTGCTGGATACCTTGTCGCTGGGACGTCGGTGTCGAATCAGATTGCGTTTTTCTACGACCCGGGTTTTGACCCCGAAATCCTATCGCTGGCGGATGCCACCAAGGGAAGCTTCACGCTGGGTGAACTCTTCACATTAACCCATGTTGTCAATGCAACAAGCGAGTTCCAAGGCCCCGTTGCCGTCGTTGCTGGAAATGAAGATTTGCCTTTCTGTAACGGAAACTGCAGTTCTCCGACCAATATTTTGGCTGGTCTTGTGCCTGCGCTGTATCCGGGATTGTCAGAGGCAAATACTGCCACCTATGTGGCTCCTGTTGCAGGTCACGCCTTGAACTTGCATTATGCGGCACCAGGTGCTTTTGACTTCATTCAGGACTTTCTCAAGAAGCACAATGTGTGAGTGTCGAAAATCGGGGTTTCATACAACTATATAGATCTTTTTCAGACTGTGGCTATATTTACTCATTCACCTGCTTGTCAAATTTGATGTACATTATCTCAGTGCTGCTGACATTACGCGTGCATTGTATATTAATTCACATACATGTACCAGACAATGCCATTCAATATCTTCATCACTAAAAGTTACTTCATACTCTGTGTCCTAGAAAAGGATCGTTCAGTAGACCACGATGGATTTTATAGGTTTGGCAGAAACTACGTTTGAACCAATGAATTGATTGATGGGCTTGACTACGTACGTGGGTAACTAACTCCACCTTGGTGATCATCTGGAACATCATCACGTATTCTCGGTCCCTTGAGTACCGGGGTGTGTATCAATTTGCAGTTGTCTGCATTTCTTGGCCCGATTACATGCCTGTGCATTGGCTTCCGTAGCATTTGTATTTGCGGGTAGTAGTAGTATGATATTGTCACATCGCAGCGACGGATATATAGAATCAACACAATGTATGAGTTCTGAGAGTCTTAAGAAATGTCGGCCACAGCATATAGCTACAGAAATAATACAGTGTCATATCAATTGTTATATGTAAAAATGAGTATATATATACCACATTAACACGCAGTTTGCATAGGTATTCAGACCATTGTTCGGACTGTAGGGCATGGGTGGGCGTCGTCCAATTTCCATCACCCTCTAAAATCGAGCATTGACGATGCCTGATCTCGTCGCCGGCACCAACGAGTCGTCTCGGTGGCGCAATTGGTAAGCTTGCCCTTCATCAAATTCATCCAATCAATCAGTTACTAATTCAATATAAAGGTTAGCGCGTACGACTGTTAATCGTGAGGTTGAGAGTTCGATCCTCTCCCGGGACGTCCATTCTTTTTTGTGCCTTTTTTTTTTTTCCAACCCACCACACAGCCCGCAACTATAAAAGATCAGGAGCAGTCAAGTATAGCAGACCCCTATGGTCGGCTCAATTGCGACCACAACTGTTTTTTTGCTGATAGAGAGACCTCGAATGCGAGAAAAGCGAACGCTGGCCTGGCAACACCTCATACTTCTGCCACCAAAAATCACCCCTATTGCGTCAACAATCAGCTGGACGGTATGGGAGCCTGGCCGATAGAAAGCCACTCCCTTTCATATGCATACACAGTCGCTGGAGCCATATAATGACCAAACGGCGGCCAACGGAGCGCACGAAAGCGACAAGCATGGGAGACTTCATATATGAGAAGTGATGAACATGGCTATACCGCACGAGGAAAGATCCACCAGAACAGCCATGCCGCCGGCCTAGACTACAGAACCGTGAGGCGAACTTAGACTGCCACAATAGCAATGGCGCCCTATGATTCTCACACGACCCACCTCGCCTGCCGAAGGCATTGCCACTGTTTCTGGGGGTATACAGCATACATAGTGAGCAACATACCCAGCTACCCGAGATAACAAAAGGTCCCACGGAGTACTGTGAATTGACTACTTGTCAGTGTGGCAAATGCATTACGGTCAGTTCGATACCATGTGATTCCAGAAGCATCAAGAAACACCAAGCTGTGGGCCATAACATGAAATCGATTTATTGATTATGCTGCAGCATCCGGCCAAGGATTAGGATAGCATCCGAGAACAGTCTTCTCTACTGTTCGGTTCAATCTAGAGCTTGGATAATCTAGCATACGCTTGAAAAAGCAAGCTATCGATTCGAGCCACTACGACATGATCAGACACGTTACATGTTTCGATGGGACAATAATCACCCTCTTCTAGAGGTGTATCAGCTGGTGGCGTCATTAGCTGGATCATACTCATTGGGCTATACTCATTGATAGTACCATAAGTGGACCCCTGCAACAACTGAGTAGTCTCGGTGGCGCAATTGGTAAGCTTTCACATCCGAACTTAATCATATCTCTCAGTTACTAATCCGAATACAGGTTAGCGCGTACGACTGTTAATCGTGAGGTTGAGAGTTCGATCCTCTCCCGGGACGCTTCTTTTTTGCTTTTTTTTGACCACCTTCCCCCTACTTTTCGTTTCTCTTTGCCGAGCCAAACAGTCGATTCATGGGCAAAGGAACAATAAATTATTGGTCTGGTAGCCTTACATGATTGTATGCTGGCAACCTCCAATCAACACAACGCTACTCTCGTGCTATACTACTAACATATCGGACGAATCGCAAGTTCGAGTCGGATTCAATCGAGGGATATGGGAGTTTCTCTTCTCCCTTGCTAGACCAATTCTTTACATAGTTCATGTGGTCATAAGTTATATCCTGCAACTATTCATGTGCCACGTCAGGTTAACGATAACAGTTTCGAAAGTAGTATTTGATGCCCATGACAGAGACTTTATTGACCAGATGCAAATGCCAGATATTGCGCTGTCTAATAATAGCAATCTAGGCTCACCATCAGATTCCAATTAATAGGGAAACCCTCCTTAGTCCATGATAATATGAACGTCATTCTGCGCGATCCGGAGCGCCTTTTTCGAAATTTGGTTTGATGGCATAATGAGAGGAAGAGAATTCATTCAAGGTATTATCTAGAAATCCGCCTCTATATACATATTTTACCGATACAATACAAGCCAAGGAGGAACTTGCTGTACATCTACAGGAAGCCGGATGCCAGATCCATCGCTAGATACTACTTACTAGTACTAGTATGCAGTCATCCCATATCGCACATAACATAACAAAAACATATTAAACACCTGGAATATATTTCCGAACCGTTTCACAACTTAATCAGAATTTATCACCACTCTCAAAAACAGGTGAAGACAACAAACAGCTTTTATATAGGGGTGATGATAATTAATCACCCCTGTCCCCAAAAGTCACCCCTGATATAGCCAAGATGAACGCAATTCTTCAACGAGTCGTCTCGGTGGCGCAATTGGTAAGCTTACCCTTCAACAATTTCAATCCAATCATATCAGTTACTAATTCAATATAAAGGTTAGCGCGTACGACTGTTAATCGTGAGGTTGAGAGTTCGATCCTCTCCCGGGACGTTTCTTTTTTATTTTTTTTTTCGGTCTTGTTAGACAGATAAGATTGCATTCTCTTTTCGTTCCTTTTAATTTTATTTCATTTGTCCTAATCCCCTGGCGCTTTACAGAAAAGTCTCTTTGGATCATTGGTTTTCCAAATTTGTGGTGTGCCATCATGGCAGGCTGGGATGGAAGTATACGAACAACTCCGGGAGACATCTCTACCAACTAACCAAGTAAACCATACAATCGGATCCTTTCGGCTTTACCCATAGGTATCACGGGCCTAGAAAGATAATCATCAGCTGATAATACATCCATCCAATCCAAGCCCCCGAGAAACAGTCACCAAGGTGCTCGCGGAGACATATCGGAGACATACTCCCATCCTTCGCGCCTCAGCACACAGCTAAGCAGTAGAACGAGCAACACGAAGCAGCCAAAGAAGATATATAAAGGCGCCCTATCTCAAGCCATCCCTCCTCCCCATCATCACCCAAACCAATACCCATCTCTCTCAACACCACAAACTCAGACCCCTCCACATAACCATCCCTCAAAATGCCCCCCAAAATCCTCCCCTCCTCATACCTCACCCCAGCCTTCGTATCCCGCTACCACCTCGCCGAGAAACTCACCGGCGTATTCGTGGCCCCTCTCGTCCAGCAATCCGGAATCCTATCTACCACCAGTGATAATGACAAGAAGCAGCCCCTGGTCGTCTTCGACAACGCCTGCGGACTGGGAGTCGTATCCAGCTATCTCAACAGCACGCTGCCTGAAGATGTCAAGAGAAACTGGACGCTGACCTGCGGAGATGTGACGGAGCTGATGGTGGAGTACACCAAGTTGCGGAGCGAGAGGGAAGGGTGGGTGAATGCTGAGGCGAAGGTCGTGGACGCTCAGTGTACGGGGTTGCCCGGGGATAGGTATACGCATGTGTTGTCGGCTTTTGGTGAGTGGTATAGACATTCTGGTTGTGGTGGGGGTGGTGTGTTTGTGGAGGAATGCATGGTTGGCTGATGATGTGTGTTGGTAGCGTTCATGATGATACCTGATGCGAGGGCTGCGATGAGAGGTGAGTAACTACTATTCATGCTGGTGGTTCGCTGAAATTGTTTGGATTGGGGATCGATTGGAAGTGAAGCAGCTGACAAGGTGTGTTTGTTAACGGTAGAATGTTTCCGTATTCTCCAGTCCGGGGGCGTGCTTGCGACTTCGACGTGGAGGACTTGTATGTCCATGCCTTTCCCTTTCAATCCGCAATTTCAATTAGCAGGTCTAATCAAAGGTTATCAGCGTCCTGGCTCGTCATCATGAAAGAAGCCATCGAAGCCACGTCCTGGAACGTCAAGTTCCCCACCATGAAAGAGTTCCTGGCCTTGCATAACGAAGGCTGGGACGACGAGGCTTTCGTGAAAGCTCGATTCGAAGAGGAAGGGTTTGAAGATGCGGAAGTTACTGCTGTGCAGAGGGAGACCTCGTTGACTGTATCCGAATTCATGGAGGTCGGTGAGGGGATGATTCCTATTGTGACTGGGGCTTTTTGGACGCCCGAGCAGCGGGAGATGTATGAGGCGAAGGCGCCGGTGGTGATTAGGGAGTATTTGGAGGAGAAGTTTGGAGCTGAGGGCGTGGTTAGGATGGATCCGGTGGCTGTTCTTGCGGTGGGGAGGAAGCCATAGTCGATACAGGTGATGGGTCTGGGTAATGAGAGTACCTTTGAGAATGTCATTGATTTTATCTGTAGTGTTAGTGCTTATGGAAATGCTCTGGTTACGTGTTTATCAGCTAGTTGGAAGCACCAACAAGTAAGGTCATAGAAGTCATTGAATTCGCATGAATGTCCTTGTCCCGGATAGACCACTAAAGCTTAGAGAAACACCTGTTGCTCGGCAAAACTGCAACACCTGGAACAGTCACCTGAAAACTGGTAGTGAACCTAACGCCATTTGATCCTATCCCCTTTCCCCTGTGCTCCTCTCAGACATTCATGAACTATGCGGAAATCCGACCCGTGCAAGACTTCGGTTCGGATCCATCCGGTTATCCAAATCCTCGTAGCGAAGAATAAACTCGCGCTGTAGCATCTGGTCAGTATGCACGTGACGCGAGTCATTGAGAGACGACATCAAGCAGAGACGACGGTAGACATACCCGAACCTTCTTCCAACTGGCGGGGTCCCACAATAGGTAGACTCCCCTCTCGCTCACGCCGCGATCAACGTCAACAGGACCGGGGTACGTCTCGTCGCGGGTAAGCCAGCACCGTTCGATCTTGTGGTACCTCCACTTCCGACCCATGAGCTCTTCCGCAACGACCTCCTGCAGTAGATCTCTAGGCTGACTGTAGAATATGTAGAACAAGGTCTCGTCGCTGAAACTCGGGATACGTGTTTGGAGAGGTTGGACATTGGCGACATTGTAGCACGCCGGGAGAGCGAAATCTTGCTCCAAAGGAACTCCTGGCATGGAGGCAACGAACGGCGAGGCAAATGACGTATGTAAGGGTCTAGGACGGTGTGAGAAAAGCAAGCCTTCGAAGTTCAAGAAGTGGCCAGAACATACTCTGGTTGATTCAAGTCCAGGCCTAATGTCATGAGATCCTGTCCTACCGCGAGACTTGAGACATCAGCGTTATCGCTGTGAATCATGCGCAGCAGGCCTGCCAGCCCAAACTTGTCGAGCTCGCTCATTTCGGCCAGTGGTAATTGATCAGAACTTTGCGCAGCCCCCGAAGCTTCCTTCCCAGTAGCGGGAAACCCTGGTGGCCGCATAATGTGTTGCTCGGTGTAAGCACTCTGGTTCGATATTACACTGTTGTTCAACTCCTAAATTCATGTCAGCATCGAGACGATAAGCGTGTCTGGTCGCGACCCTTACCTCCTTTTCTTGCCCCGGGACCCTGCTTGACCCCTGATTCACCGGCGATCGGGACGTTTCGATACCTGAATAGAACCTTTTAGTTTGAGATCGGGCTGACCAAGTCACTGACACATACCCCCTGATCCTGCAGTGGCAGGCGACATTATCCGCTCTTGTCCGTTCACCGACGCGGCGACCATGTTGCGAGCTTGGGCAGACTGAGCCTGGCTCACGCCCGTAAACGGAAGGCCACCGTTGTAGTTGCCAAGCCCTGTACTTTGTATCAATGATCCTCTCCGATCTTGACCGAGGTCCGTGGTGATATTACGTCCGAGTGGGGGAAATTCTTCAATGTTGCCGGTTTGAGGTTGCCCCCCGGCACCTAACTGACCACTGATGCCCTGACCACCATTCCGGAAATCGTCCAAACGGTTTGCGAACTGAGCGCCCGAGGGAAATACGTCGTCATGCGAGGGTTGCGATTGCTGTTGCGGGTGGTGGGTCTGTGTCTGCGGAGCTCGTGAGGGTGCTTGGGAGGTAGCATGCTGCGGCCTTTGCACAGGGGTCTGCTGCATCGCACGTTGGCTGGCGTTTGCCCATACTAGATGGCTCGGATTTTGAGTTTGCGATTGCGGAGGCGCTCCAGATAACGAAGGGAAGTCTCTGGAAGAAACAGCCAGGTTTCTCAGCAATAAGTTCGACGTGTCCTTCAGGAGGCCTATCCATAGACCCAATCAAAAAGAGAGAGCAAGCCACACTCACGATAAGTCAAGAGGAGTAGCAGGTTGAGAACCACTCAAGCTCTGTGCAAACGTTCCCATCGTCCCAATGTTGCGCTGCTGATTGCCTTGTATCCCCGGCGTTCCGCTCACGGGTAGGTTGAAGTTCCAATTCGCTCCGCTACCTGTTGGGGTCCGACACCGTTAGCTTTCAAGGCGGATCTACCAGGTCGAAACCAGACAATGAGTCGCACCAAGTTTACCGTTTGGCAGGCGCGCCGATGCTAATGCCGCATTTCGAGCTTGTGCTTGTTGTTGGGCGGGGAAGCCGGACATGCCTCGCAAGGGCTGGGGGCCGGGTCCTGGAAGCCATAACAGTGATCAGCGACATAGCCCAGGTGAACGTGCCAAATTCGGGGGGTGTGGACTGCTTCACCAAAGCCGGGGGAGGGGCTTGGCATGGTGACGAGGAAGGCTATTGCGGTCGCAAAGGAAGATCCATCTGGTAGAGAGCTTGCAATTGAAGCCCGATGGATAGCGAGACGCGGATCCAAGCACCAGCCACCCTCCACACGGCACGATGAAGCTCAAAGAGAATGAATGGGCATGAGAGAAAGCATTGATCGGAGACTGCTGGGGTTGCCGTAGCAAGCCCGATCGGGAGGACAAAGGGAAGAACGTGAAAATCACAAACCTGGCCTATTCATAATGCAGGATAGTTGTTTGAGCAGTACAGATGAAAGAATAAGACTCTGGCGTGTGATTTAGAGAAAAACAGTGGTACAGCATGTGAGCGATAAGAAACCAATGTGCAGCCAGGATCTCTGCCCACACAGTGTTGCGCCGGCTCTGGGAGGTGGAGTGGCTGCAGACGCGCGCTTCTGGTTCCTGCACGGACCTCCATTAGCCGCCCATTCACAGTCATGCTCGCTTTCTTGGTAACCATGAGCACACGACCACGCACTGGATCGGGAGGGTGATGGGAAGTTTGGTCATGGATTACTGGATTCTTTTTCTTTTCGGCAACATTACTATGTATATTAGAAAATATATAGCGCTCAAGACGTGGGGATGACAGATCATGTGCATCACCTTCTTCCCAGCTATCTATGTAATCAATGGCATCACTATCGGCATACTCTTCCACTTTGTCAACATACGTCTTATTCGATCCGACCATAGTAAATAAGCCCGGTCTATTGGTAGTAAAATACCTCATTTAAAACTCATTCCCGGGACTGAGTTTCCTCCCACGATGTTGTAAGTAGGAAGTTGTTCCCCAGCTGGTCGCACTGTGTTACCAGCCGCAGCCGCACACGTGATCTAGGCGCCCAAAAGTCCGTTCCGTTCGCTTTTGATCCGGAGGCCGCAAGGACATCCTCCACTGAGTCCCTTTGCCGTCACAGGGCTGCTTCACGGTCACAATGCATCGTCAGTCTGTTTTACGACTGGCTCGCCAGTCCGGGGCTTTCCCGCTGGCCGAATTGCCCCCTCCATACCTCGCCCCGTCTCTCCATTTCTCCATGAACCGCTCGACCGTTCAGTGCTCGAACTTTTCTTCCACCGCCGCTGTCGCCGCTGGCCGTGGTGATCTCAACAAAGTCCGCGCCGTGTCCGCTATTCACCGCACTGGCCCCAAGTACCGATTGGGCGTGTCGAAATACCCATTGCCTAAGCCAGTTTCCCCAGACGCTCTTCCGAAGCGCAATGCCGCACCAGACCATGGACTCTGGGGTTTCTTCCCCACGGACCGGACCGCTTTGAGCACGCCGACATACGACATCGAATGCGGTTAGTTTTGGGACCCTATAAGGCTGTGGTGACGTTGTGATGCTTACTATCGATCGTTTAGGCCGCTCGTGGTCGATTCAGGAACTCCGTGAGAAGTCATGGGACGATCTCCATTCCCTGTGGTGGGTCTGCGTCAAGGAGCGCAATCGCATAGCTACGAGCGATATGGAAAGGAAGAGACTGAAGGCTGGTTATGGAGAGTGGGAATCCGCTGAGCGGGATCGTGTGGTAAGTCCAGTTCTGCTGCTGGTCCCTGTTTCACAATTACGAAAGCTATAATTCTTTCACCATCGCAATTAGTCGATGATATGCAATTTGGCTGCTGCTCACTTTGATGCTCAATGTGCTAACGAATGGCTGTTCTAGATCCGCGTCACGCAAAACGGCATCAAGCACGTTCTTCGGGAAAGATGGTACGCCTGGGAGGAGGCCCAGCGTCTCTACAGAAAGGGCTACCGGCCCCAGGAGGATAGCCAGGAGTAAGGGCATCAGCTCCACGAGAGATATCACAAAAGGAACCGGGGTTTGAATCTAGGAGCTCCGATAGAAACTATTGGTCTGTACTTTTGTATGTAGTAGTATGTAGTATATGTTCTCTTATTATTGGCAACGTTTTTTTTTTTGGTTTACTTTTTCCAATTATTTTCTTTGTTTCTCCATGTCAAAATCCCAGCTAGTTTTGATTTTGGCGACCTGATTATCGAGAGCCGGTGTTCTGTAGTTCCGTTGAGAACCCTACCTACTGTACCTGGTTGTGGCGGAAAGGATGCCAGATCTAGACTGTCAATTCTCATAACTAGTGCATTATAGAGCCATAAGGGAGATGAGAGCAGATAGTGTGTCCAATAGTCAGGGAGCTGACCAGCTAATCGTTACGTCGAAAGCGGAAGACATGATCGATCCACTGCGGCACGACCGATGGGAAAAAAGGGGCAGGAGGAGCACTCAGGAGGCGAAACTGAAGATGGGAATGCTCCATCAAATTAATTGCATGGTCATAAGGAGCAAATCACCCTGAAATGACAACGTTATTTGGACTGGTGGAGCCAGGCTGGCGGGCGTTAAGACAAATAACGAATCAATATTTCCTGATCGATGATCCGCGGGGGGTGCCAAATCTACCCTGGCGACCTCCTTTCAGTTTCGCCCTCCTCCCCTTCAACTTCACCGCTGCCGTCTCCGCATCTTCTCTCTTCCCCTTCTCTTCCTCTTTCCTGCACATCTTCTCTACTACTACTCATCCGCGTGCCTCTTGACCCATTTTAAGATTTCTTTTCTGTATATTCTTTCTTCATAGCCTCCCACCTGAAAACTTTACACATCATGGAGGAGATTGCCCCCGAGTATGATGTTGTGGTGCTCGGCACTGGTATGTGCTACCCCGCCGCCGCTCGACGACAGCTGTACTGACGCCCCTCCTACAGGGTTGACCGAGTGTGTCCTCTCGGGGTAGGGACTCCTTGCTGCTTGCATTTCCACTGCGGCAGTTTACTGACAGTTTGTTCTACAGTGTTCTCAGTGTCAAGGGAAACAAGGTGCTTCACATCGATCGCAATGATCACTATGGAGGGTGAGTTGGGCAGCTTCTTGGTAGCTATCCGTCATCCCACCCGCCACTAACCGTGACTCCAGTGAGGCTGCCTCGGTGAACATTGAGACTGTAAGTGCTCATAAATACCCCCAAAAGTGGGATATAGCTTGAAAATAGCTTTCCTCTCGGATTCTGGCTTGCTAACACATCCTCCATATTTTAGCTGTTCAAGAAGTACGGCAACGTCCAGCCCGGCGACGAGCCCTGGAAGAAGTATGGTCGCGTCAACGACTGGAACATCGACTTGGTCCCCAAGTTGCTCATGGCCAACGGAGAGCTGACCAACATTCTGGTTTCCACCGATGTTACGAGATACCTCGAGTTCAAGCAGATTGCTGGCAGCTACGTCCAGCAAGGCAAGGGTCCCAAGGCCACCGTTGCCAAGGTGCCATCCGATGCTGGTGAAGCTCTGCGCTCGTCTCTCATGGGCATGTTCGAGAAGCGGAGAGCTAAGAAGTTCCTGGAATGGGTTGGTGAATTCAAGGAGGATGACCCCTCCACCCACCAGGGTAGGTACAAGTACGCTTGATCGTTGTAGCGCCGGCGCTAATGCAACATAGGTCTGAACGTCCACAACTGCACAATGAAGGAAGTGTACGACAAGTTCGGATTGGAGGCCAACACCTGTGACTTTGTCGGTCACTCCATGGCCCTGTACTCATCCGATGAGTACATCCACAAGCCGGGTATGGCTGTCGAGACCATCAACCGCATCCGTTTGTACGTGAACTCGATGGCACGCTACGGAAAGTCCCCCTACATCTACCCTCTCTACGGTCTGGGCGAGCTTCCCCAGGGTTTCGCTCGTCTGTCCGCTATCTACGGAGGTACCTACATGCTCAACACCTCTGTTGACGACGTTCTCTACGACGAGAGCGGCAAGGTTTCCGGCATCAAGGCCACCATGAAGGACCGTGACAACGAGGCCGAGTCCATGACTTTCTCCACCAAGACCAAGAAGATTCTCGCAGACCCCTCATACTTCCCTGGAAAGGCCAGAGTCACCGGCTACCTGCTGAAGGCCATTTGCATCCTGAACCACCCCATTGACAAGACCGACAGCAGCGACTCGCTGCAGCTGATCATTCCCCAATCGCAGGTCGGCAGAAAGCACGGTAAGCTTTACTAACTAGGAACCTTGCTATTGTATTCGTGCTGACTCTCTCCAGATATCTACATCGCCATGGTGTCGTCGGCTCACAACGTCTGCCCCAAGGGCTACTACATTGCCATCGTCTCCACCATTGCCGAGACGGATGCCAACCACCACCTGGAGCTGGAGCCTGGCTTCGAGCGCCTGGGTAAGATTGAGGAGAAGTTCATGGGTGCTCCTATTCCTCTGTATGAGCCTATCGAGAGCGGTGAGAAGGACAACATCTTCATCTCGAAGAGCTACGACCCTTCGTCCCACTTTGAGACCACAACCGGTAAGCCCCCAGCGCGTAGACTTGCTGCAGGATGATGACTGACGCTCTATAGACGACGTGCGGGACATCTACCGTCGCGCGACGGGCGAGGAGTTGGTTGTTGAGGGTCTCCGGGAGGGCCAGAAGCTTGCGGAGGAGTAAGGAAATCTTCGTGGAATGCATATTGGGGTAAGGTAATATCTTGACGCTACGGGCGCTTTTGAATCGAGTCATCCTAATTTCTTTTGGACTTTCTCTACGCTCATGAATCATACCACTATTGGACTCGCACACTCATTTGGGTTTTGCGTCTTGAAGTAGTAGTCGGGCCTGCATATACATCAGTTGACCTGATAAGTTGGTGTCTGGTGCACCTGACGTGTGAATAATTCTATCTTAACAGACATCTGCAGTGTAGAACTTGCTTTCTATCATTATGCGCCAAGGCCAACTCAGATCTTGGTGTCGGCGGGATCCGTATTCGCCTTATCATGTTCAGCCACGACACAAACACTCCCATCCAACTTCTGAATCTCGGCCCGTAGCAGCGCCATCCGCTTCCCCATATGCACCAGCTCACACACCAGCCGGATCTCCATCCCCACCGGCACTGGCCGGATATACGTAGTCTTTAAGTTCCGACTCACACCACCATAAGAGTACAAGCCCGGTTTGGATAGTGCCATGAGTAACGTCGAAGAAAGGATATCAACCATGGTGGCCGCACAGCCGCCATGCAGGTTCTGGAGGTAATTGCATTGCTTTGGGATGACTTTCAGGAGATACGAGACGCGAGCCGGGGGACCCTCCGTGGCGGACTCGAACCGAAGGTTGCATTCGTGCGGGAAGAAGTCCCAGGCCTGCGCGGATCGTTAGGATGCTGTTTGCGAACGGGGCAACAAATGTATATAGCACGTGCCTCGTCGTTCTTATCCAATGTAGGAGGACCCGTAGAGTAGCTGTGCACAGTCTGCTCAAACGGGGTCAGTTGGGATAGCGGACGAACGCTCGGTGCTGGCATCTTGGATGTTCGGAGGGGAGTTGTCGGAGCCATGGCCGCGGATGTCAGTCGATGGATGAATGTATGTGACTAATATTATGAGCACGTGGTTTTCTTTTTTGGTCAGGTTGTTATTATTGAGAATTATGTAAAGGGGCTAGGGGAAATCTACTTTTATAGCTCATTGAGCGAGAATAGAGGATACTAATTACTCTGTTGCATGGGTGATCTCTTCATAGTCCGATGTCCTTGGATAAGGGTCCAAACAACCGAGGTTGCCGGCACATCGTAAACCTGCTTGTCCGTATGGACCTCTTACTCGCCCTGGAAGTATGCTATAGCTGCTCAAATCCATGACTTGTCAATTCCTTTCTTGGTAACACTTTCTTGCCTTTTAACTTCATTGTATAGTTTGGGTGGGACATTCAAGCGTGGTTATTTGTCCCGGCATTCGGGCCGTGATATACAAGCTATGCCATGATGCTTGTGATCTTAACCGGGGGAATATTCGTCATGGACCTATTCTTAGCCACTTTCACAAGGATAGGATATCCGGGGAGATGGTAAAGATGACAGTCCATACAGTCTTGTGGTGAGTTTGGAAAGATGTTGCTCGTATGTATTTTCATTACGTTCTTTCCAACTTGTCTGTCAAGAACATGCACCTGACTTGGCGTCATGTCTTCTGCCTCAGGCATGAAAGGCACCCGTGCCTGGCCCGACTCCATCCAGACTCTCCGTCAACAATCAGTACAATCCTTCCATTGAGCCAACCCCAGTCTATGAGAATAGCTGGCAGTGGTCATAATCAGACCTATATAAGCTATAAAATTTTGTCTAATCAAGCTCCTAATCTTCTTCCCCCTCATTCCGACCACCAATCTCATCGAAAGTCCCGGTCGCAGTCCAAAAATATTTCCTTCTCCGCATCTATCCCTCCGCTCCAGTGCCGCATCCTCTGATGTTTCCTATGCGCGCCATTGACCTATCCTTATTATATACCCGGATATAAAAGACGACTATTACGAAGCTGCACCCGCGAGTGGTGCAGCTAGACCTCCCCCGACGACGCAACACCCATTTCAACACAATGAAGGACTCGCGCGCCAGCAAGAGGAGAAGGGTGTCGGACGCACAAGTTGTTGACGAAGATGGAGATACCACCATGGGCGAGGGCGCTCAAGATGTACCCACCTCGCCAGCAATTGAACAGGCGAAAGCTGCGTCTTCCGCAGCCGAAGAGCCAGAAACGCCAGCTACATCGAGGTCAAAGCGGCGGCGATCTTCGCAAGGCGCCGCTGTGACTGGAAAGGAGGATGAAGTACAAACTACAGATACACCTACGAGGGGTGGAGTACGGTCGAGTGGACGACAGCGAAAGGCGCCGCAGAGGTACGGAGACGAGGTCGTGAATACGCCATCACGCAGGAGGAATGCTTCTACCCCAGGTGCGAATGGGTCAACGACGAGGAGCGCTCGCAGGGCCAAATATGTTTCGGAAACAGAGGGCGATGAGGAAGAGGAGGAAGCAGAGGTCATCGACGATGATGACGACGACGAGGACGAACCGTCTCCGCAACCGAAAAGACGGCCGACACGGACGCGGTCGAAGAAAGCTACAGTTCGGTTCGAGACGGATAAAGATGATGCGTCTAAGAAACGAGACGAATCGCAGATGTCTCCTACACCGGATGATTATCAGGATGGGCTGGAGGATCTCGTGTCGATGCAACTACAGCAGGATCTTGTCAACAATGACTTGACCAGCATTGAGCAGACCGTTGCCGCCAACGGGGAGCCGCTTCCAGATTATGCTGCGAAGCTCCAAGCGCTTGTGCAAGAAGGTCTGACGGAGGAGCTGCGGTTACTGACAGGATATGTTACGCAAAAGCTGAACGGCAAACGACGGGTGCCACTGAAAGGGCTCGAAACTGAGTACCACAAGGTCAACCATTTGATTGAACAAACCGTGGCTGTCGGTGAAGGTAACTCGATGCTACTTCTCGGATCTCGTGGAAGCGGGAAAACCGCGATCGTTGAGACGATCATCTCGACTTTGGGAAAGTCGTACAAGAATGACTTCCACGTTGTCCGTCTTAATGGCTTCCTGCATACGGACGACCGATTGGCGCTCCGCGAAATGTGGCGTCAGCTTGGCCGTGAGACAAACACTGAAGATGAAGCTGGCAAGGTTAGCAGCTACGCTGATACCATGGCTACACTCCTTGCTCTTCTGTCGCACCCAGAGGAGCTCTACGGTCCGTCCAATGAATCAGGTACTGCGACCGCAGCAAAGTCCATCGTCATTGTCCTGGACGAGTTTGATTTGTTCGTCACACACCCTCGTCAAACACTGCTGTACAACTTGTTTGATATCGCGCAGGCGCGCAAGGCCCCAATTGCAGTGATTGGACTCACCACCAAGGTGGATGTGACGGAGATGTTGGAGAAGCGAGTCAAAAGTCGCTTCAGCCACCGCTACGTCTACGTTCCACTGCCACGATCCCTAGAAACCTTTTCTGACATCTGCTTCGCCGGACTCAACCTGGAAGACGAGGAAGTCTCGGAACTGCTAGAATTGGCTGATGCCGAAGAGCAAGCCATCCTCCAATCTGACAGCTGGAGTCGCTTACTGGAAGGATGGAGAGCTTATCTGCAGGTAAGTGCGCCTCATTGCACGACAAATAACCACACAGACCACGTTTTGCTGACCCTAGTGGGCAATTCCAGGGCCTATGGATCGACGAGGCGTTCGCATCCCACCTACGAAGGATATACCATCAAACTAAATCCGTGAAGGAATTCTTCACGAGCGCTCTGATTGGACTGAGCGACCTCTACCACAGCACCCACTCTCTCACTACTACTCCCGAAGGAACATCTTCCCTGGAGATCCCCACCGCTACCACCTTCACCAGTCACCTTCTATCCTGCCCGGACCCTGCCCCTCTCCCATTCTCCGCGTCGACCACCGCCTCCGCAAGTCCCTCATCTCTCCCGCTCTCGCTCCTCCTCGCAGCGACCCGCCTAGCAGCTCTATACGAACCAGGCTTCGAGACCACGCAGCTCCAGAGCGCTGCGCCACTGGCACTCTCCTTCCCCGCAGCGTATGCAGAGTACGTGCGACTGCTGACGACGGCCAAGACATCAGCCTCAGTGTCCGGAGCCGCGGTCACTCCGGGACGGGTCTGGGGTCGGGACGTGGCGCGCGAGGCATGGGAGAAGCTCGTCAGCTGGGGGCTGATCAGCCCCGTCGGCGGGGGCAGTGGCACAGCAGACGGACGGATGTTCCGGGTGGAAATCAGCTTCGACGAAGTAGTCGAAATGGCCGGCACGGGAGGATCATTAGGACGGTGGTGGCGGGATGGCTGAGCCAGGAAAAAAGAAGAATGTTGCCTGCACGGTGCAGGGAATTGCCCGTGTGAGGTGAGGGGAAACTCAGCCTTGCTTGCTTTGTGTTCAACAGCGGGAATATGTGGGTGTCTAGAACTAAACTTACTTGGTACTATGTTGCATTGCATGATGAGGAATCTTACACACACACACACACACGTTGCATGTTGCACATTCCGTTACTCCACATAAAGGGTTGAGGGGGGTGGGACGGACGGGTCGAAGGTACTTACTTACTTTGCTCATCGTTTGTAACAAATATACATCTGCCTATCCCTTATACTAGGCAGCAGCAGCAGCAGCAGCAGTAGCTACCTAGTATTCTTCCCGTTCTTTAGCTAGAAGATGATAGCTGCCTAGACAGCAAATACATAGACGTCTGCCTAGGCGCACGCGCAGAGAGAGACCAACAACCAAAACAAGAAAAGAACAAGATGGAGGAGGGGGAAAGGGAAGAGAAATCTACCTTGCAGAAAGCCTAGCCTAGCGAATAACTAGACAGACATAGTCTAGTGTAGTCTAGTAGTCAGGTCTAGACAAGTTACTACTATACTAAATTATTGTTTTCCCCACATAGAAATAATCAGATTATGTAGTATCTGGTTAATATGCATGGGTAATAAGCGGCCGCTTATTACTTGTTTGAGTAGTAGGTGGTGGTTGGTTTATAATATTACTTACTAAGTTACTAACATATTAATTACTGTGTGATTTGCTGTTACTACCTAGGTGGGTAGTAAGTTAGTGATGTTTGGCTAAATCAGTAGTAGTTGCAGTAGTGATGATAATCAGTGGGTTTGAGAATTTTACCCCTCATTACTTATTAGTATCAGATGTTACTACGTGGGAGGATAAATTTCCTCGCTGGGTTTTGGTGTTAACTACCTACTAGTAGTAAGTATTAACTTAGTTAACGTAAGGTGGCTAGAATGTTTGTGTCTTTTTATTGTGGGATGAGTATATATGTATGAAATATATAATGAACAAGTAGTGTGGAGAGTTACATAGATCCAACTTCAAATTATTATCAAATGAACTTCAGTTAAGAGGTAAGTCTGATTGCGTATGATTATAATGCTATAGTATACGATCAATTGGCCGGGGATAATACTGACAGAACATCCATACATAGCACTGTAGAATGATTGACGACATGTGGCTGAACTGGTCGGGTATAATGGAATTAATAGAAGTCAGTACAAAGGTCTCTTTCTTTCTTTTTTTTTTATTTGAAGCGAATGGTATTGGGGTATATATGTATTAGGGTTGTTGCTCAATCATTGGTAGTTAGTGATATGAATTGAATGAATGATCATTGTTGTAGCCGTATCGTAGCGTAGGTTTTACATAGAAGATAGGAATAATCTGCGTGTATGTGATAGTATAGAATATAGTTGAGAAATATTTATCTCACTCACTACTCCGTAGTATTCCACCATTGCGAGCGCTATGTCAAGTCGCTAGCAGCCTCATTATCTGCATATTCTACAGTGTAATGACCATTGTAAAGTCAGTAAGTCTACTATCATCAAATCCACATCAATGGTTTGATTATGTGCATATGGTTATGCAATGGAAATTAGGTACTATTTAGGCAAGTAGTCGATAAAGACGGAGTAGTGAACAATAAGATCGCCGATTAATACAGTAGGTTGGCTGTACGAGATACGTTTGTAATTCGCAGAATGATCGGTCGCGTGGATGGATAAGTAATAAAAGTGATCGACCTAGTACAGGTAAATGACTCGATGACTAGAAGTGCTGTGTGGATGGATGGATGGATGGATGTGCCTGACATTCTTGACTTTGCTAAGATGCGTAGTGACTAGTGTAGACTCTGCAGTCTAAACGGTGATGGGGGATGTGATTCGTGCTAAGGGGTTAACTACTAATTGGTGCGGTGGGTTGGGTGATACCGTTGGGAGGGGTTGCGATGTGATAGATGGTCTACAGGGGTCATACTTAGGTTGACCAACTTTAGTGGTGAGGTAGCCAAGGATACACATATGAGATGGGGCTGAGTGCTGCTCTGGACCTACCGCTGCATATCTAGTCGCTGTCTAGGTATGTACCTACTGCTAGGGTCAACTGTGGGGGAGGGAAAGGTAGTTGGACGGGATGGAGATGATGTGTATGTGGGTTGTGGTGGTCTGTGTAGGTGAGATCGCGGCGACGGACGGTTATGATGATTGTCGCGATGGTGTTAGACGGGGCTGAAGGCTGTGTGGCAGAAAAAAAGAGGGGAATCGGCAGAGCTGCCTTAGCTCAAACTGCCTAGTACGTACCACCTCATGGCAAAGCAGGGTAACCAGCCCGCGTCCGGAATGATGCTACTGCTGCTGCTGCTGCACCGTCTCCTCATGGCAGGCAAGGTACATGGGCACGCTGAGGGGAGGGATTCACGCACCATTGCCCATGTAGTGCTCCGCGGATGACCAAAGATTGGCCAGCAGCCTGGGCTGAAATGAGCCATCATCCCTCCCCAGTGGTCTCGACCAGCCTTGTGCAACCCTAGCCACGCCAGGCCGTGAGCAAGGGAGGCTGCCGGACTAGTTCGAACGGAAGTCCGGCCAATAATGGGCGGTAGTCTGGTCGATCAGCATGACAGAGGCAATTCTCGGTTGAGATTAGGTTCCTTTGGTCACCCTGGGTATGAGTGGTGATATGGGACACAGTAATCCTTATGGAAGGAGGACTGGACCGATACTCCGCACTTGCACCCCGTCCATATCACAGAGCTGGTATATGCCCACGCATAAATAACTGTGATATAACCACGCTATAGACTTAATAATGGGGGCGGAATGCACCGTTATTGATTATGTACGTATGGGCGATGCAACTGCGTGGCTCTGAACCGAATCCTGGTGCGATCCTGGCTCATCTCCATCGCCTGTCGACTGGGGAACTAAGACGAATCGGGGCCACGTCTCTTGCACACTAATGCATGAAATGACCGTCTTGAGCTGGCGCAGGACCAAAGTGGAATCGGCGGCGGGGTTAGCCGGGAAGAGAGGCTGCCTGTTTTGCCGGTCGTAAGGTGTTCGTCTGGGGATTATTGAATGTTTTGGGCAGAAGATAGATTAATGTAATGCGCTCCGGAGAAAGATGTCATTGATGGGCTTCCGTAATCTGGACGGGATATTCCGCGCCCCAAAGTATGTTGCTGATGCTGCTGATGATGATCCGGTCCAAGCCAAGCCACGCTTGGGCTAACCGGACACTAAGGGGACCGAATAGCGACCTCCAGTCGCTAAACACATACACATGTAGACATCCTAGCAAGCTATTTCGTAAGCTCCGTAGACAGGAGAAACACACTGTTCAGAGTTGACCTAACGGCCAGCCTCGTACTTCGTCGGCTGGGGTTCGCCCAATGGTCGGGGATGGGCATCATTGGCCCATGCACCGACGATGCAATCAACCGAACAGATCCCTGTCACGCCGGTTCCATCATCGCGCCGCACCCAGTCAGCATCCGGGGCAGACCGGGTCTGTCTCTCGCGTGTGTGCGCGTGGGAAATCAAATCGGCTGCCCCTTCGCATGGCAGCGTGAGCAGATGGATGGTGATCCGAGCCATTTTCGATCAGGTCGCACAGCATAGAAGACCCGACTGCGGGATGGTGGGAAAAGGAAACAACAGGCTATCCTTCCCCATATCACCCAGTCAGCAATCAGCATCATAATTCACGATTTGCCTATGGAAATAGCTGAAGGGAAAACCCCCTGGAAGCTGGTCAGGTGGGGCAACGACAAGGATAAAAAGCCTTGGGTTTAGTTTTCGCGTGGAGAGCAAGGATCAGCGTCTGCCACAGGAAAGCATCAAATAGGAACCAGTGTAGTTATCATGCATGCTGGTAACCCCTTGCTTCTGCAGCGGCAGAAAGGAAGGCGTGGTTGAGGCCAAGGCAGAAGACATAGTACATACTTGTGCCGATGGTGGGCCAAACTGCGTTTTGAGGCAGGACAGGCAGGGGTATGTATAGTGTGCCTATATCACATCGGGCGTATCTCAATTATTCAGCAGAAGAAGCGCTGAGGTAGTCCTGCATGGGAATGGAGACACCATGAGCGACGATGATGATGGCCATGGTGATGAGGAGCAGCAGCAGGACAAGATAGAACAACGAGCCAGCCAATCGCAGCGCAGGCTGACAGCAGTAGCAGCGCATTAGGTTGGCCCGAAGGAAGATGGCCTGAAGTTGGCCTGAAGCAGGGCCCCCCGCTCCGGCTCCGACTCCGGCTCTTTCCGCCTCCGACTCCGACATCCTTTTGGGGCCTTTTTCTCGCCTTATTTTCAGTTTTCGGTAAGTGGCTTGGCCGCTTTAGGCGGTAAGTAATTGTCTGTACGAGACTAGTCCATACCGTTTCCCTCCCATACGCAATGTAACGCTCAAGGTTCGATTGGCCGCCTCCCGGAAGATCCTCCACGTGCGTCTCGTCTCCTGGAACTGACCGACTCAGGCAGTGAGCCTGTTGACCCTCGGAGAGTTTTGCTTCTGACTAATCGATTTTCGCGCGACGATATCGGCCGCCATGGCCCCAATTCACGCCCTTTAGTAGCTGGACGCCGGAGTCGGACAATTTCCCCGGGACCCTGCTTGGAAAAGAATAGAATAGCCTGAAGACAATTTAGCAAAGTTCTAAAACAAGACAAAACTAGACAGGAAGTGACATGTATGCGGTTTAACTTATCTCCGCCCCCTTCCTCACTTAAGCTGTAAACCTTGAGCCCGGCCGCCCCCAGCGCCCAGCTTACCCAATCCGTATTCCCGTAAATCCTTAGCCCGTCACCCCCATCATATCCGGGGGCCTGTGGATTCATCATACAAATACGGTGAATCAACCATGCGCCCCCCAAGACAAATGCCGGAAAGTCCGATGTACACCGTGTGATCCGTCGCTAACTTACCTCAGATAGGTACGAATCCCTAGCCTCACCCAACAACTTACACAAGAGAAAAAGAAAAAAAAAAAAAAAAAGGGCAGGGAAAAGTCTTACACATGGAAAGAGTGGGGGTGACCAGCAACCCCCAACCGACCGACGCCTTCTAGCGTTTTCCAGAAGTCTTCCAGAATCCTTCTAGCGCATCCATCGGCGTCCCACCAGCCCCGAAACAAAGAACCACCAAGCAATAGCGCCCCAGGAGTAGATTAACTCAATTAACTCAACCGTGGATACAGCCTCACTAGTTTCTCATTTCTCCAACGGGGAACACCGTATGATTTTCTTGTGATCTCATATCCCTTCTACGGTTTCCATTGATCGGCAGATCGGAGGACCAACAGTCGGAAAAATTGGACTGCCTGCGAACCACATACGCTTCCCGTCCTGGGGGGAGGATATACTTGCTTGGGAAGGAACACGTTGTTGACGGATGGGTCTTTGAGTTTTTGCGGACTTGTAGATCCCCAGCCGATCGAAAATTGCGACGTAGGGGCGAAAGCATCTCAACTACTCAGGTAGGTAATATGGTGCGATTGGAGGTAAAAGGGGGAAATGGTCGAAAATAAAGTATAATAAAATCAGAAAAAAAAAAGCTTGGTGAACTGAATGGACATCGGCGTCGTCCGATCCTGGTAAACTACTGTAGTATACAAGACTAGTGACCGCTCTAGAAGCCTCAGCTGGGCTTCTTTCGCCACCGAACTACTGCACGGTGCAGGAACAGTGCGTACATGCTACGTAAGTTAATAACATCTCCCCGCCGTGATGGTAAGTTGGATTAGACATGCAATCCTGCTGGATTTTAGCCCTTCCAACAACTTCCTTCTAGAAACCCCCCAAGCGCTTACTATCGTTCCAGATATCTGGCGCAGCCGATACTAACAGCACAGTAGTACAATGTAGCGTGTCTCCCTGTGCCCGACAGGATTCACATCCCATCCCATTCCATTGCCCCAGATAAACTATCCTCCTAAAATAGTTCATCCCATACCCCCCTTCCCCTGGAGAAATGATTCTAGAAGGATCACAAATGCCGGAAGCCGAAAGGATGCCTTCCCAACCACACTTTCAGCTCTAGCAGCTGAAACAAACAGGTCTTTCTCAGCCGACACTCCCGTAATCCAATAGACATCAAACTTACGAAGTACCCTGATGTTGGTTCAGGGGGTCCGTCGCCAATTGCTACTATTTTCAACTATCAGCCACAAACCAAGGTCGAGAAATTCCAGGGGCTTCCAGCCATCAAGATACAGTTCATCAAGGTGTCCAGGCTAGACTATCACAGTACTAGATACTCCGTAGAATTAAGACATGCTCATATCAAGCAAACTCTAAGTGCGAACTTTAAAACCCGCGGCAGCGGAATATCCCGCCCCCTACATATTGCCCAGACACTACCTTGAACTTACACTAAGGAAAGTTAACGCAGTCTCCTAAGCGGCGCACAAACACACACACACACACTAGATAGTACTACTACTAACGGACTAATAGGCAGATAGATATTAGACAGATAGATTGTGTGAGTAGATAGACAAACACGCCAGAGTTCAACCCTAACCTCCAAACCCGAAAACCCACCAACAGAATAATAGTATAACCGCATATGAGGGAAAATTTTTCCATGCCCCATAATGACGACACTTGCGCCCTTCCATACTTAGTTACCTAGTACCTACTGTAACTAAATATTCGTCATATGACCTCTCCGCTCGTCTCGTAAGAGTGGAAACCAAAAGAGAAAACAAAAAA